TTTGCAGGATTCACCTTTGCCAAGTATCAGCCTGGGCTAAAAATATTATTAAAATTCATGTAATGATGAAATAATGCAATTAATACAAAGAACAAAGGGTTGTCAAGTGACATGCTTCATTAATTAAAGCACCCATTCAAGTAAACTGCATTTTAACAAGTTTGACCCTAATTAAATAGCTGCTTAGATTTTAATACCACAGACCTTAACAAGGTTTGGGAGTCTAAGAATTATTTATGTATTTCTTCCCCCTTTCCTCCCTCCCCTGCTGTCTTCTTTGCCCTAGTTTTGTTTTTACTTTTAGTTAAAGGTTGAAAATTATTTAATCAGTCTTTAGATTACAAGAAACCTCCTGGCCAAATGGATGACGAAAAGCTTGCTTTTAAAAGTCACAGAACTCTATTACACAGAAGTAAGAAAATGGCCACGAGGTTTCAAATGGATCAACCTATTTAATCCGTGGTAGGCTTTTAGATATGAATTTGAATTTTGTAATACTATTTTTTATTTATTTATTTATGTTGGGTGTACCTTCAAGTCAGTGTTGATTCCTGGTGACTACCTGGACTAGTCCCTGCAGTTTTCCTGGCAAGATTTCGAAAGTGGTTGGCCATTGCCTGCTTCCTAGGGCTGAGAGGGAGGAACTGGCCCAAGGTCACCCAGCTGGCTTTCTGCCTAAGGTGAGAGTAGAACTCATGGTCTCCTGGTTTCTAGCCTGGTGCCTCAACCACACCACCAAAGTGGCTCTCTATATTATACTGTATAATACTATACATTTGAATATTCATTTTACTTACAGCTGGTTGACTGGTTATTGCCAATCAGCTTTCATTTATAAGTACATTTTGTAGAGATTACATATCTGGCCATATTCCCACCACCCAAATCCTGCAGGACAGCCTCCATAATGTGGTGCTCTCTAGGAGGCTCTGCTAACTAGCCTAGAGTTATTGAATCTGAGCTGTAAAAACTGGATGACCACTAGTTGGTAGCAAAGATGACCTGTTTGCTATCATCTAGCGGTTTCCTGGATTTCTGAACCCAGATCTGAAAGCCCTAGACTCGGGATTATGGGATCTACAAGTCCAACACATCTCAAGAGTATCAAGCTGGAGGAAGGCTCTTTTAGAGTCTCTGAACTGGCCTTTATGTCAGCACTTATGGAATGTCTTACATGGAATCAGATCGTTGAACTGTTTAGTGCAGTATACTGGTGTAGACTTTCATAGCTGGCATCAATGAAGCAGTGGTGAGCTTTCAGGCTGAATGGCCATGATCTAGTCTTCTTTTGTCCTGGTTATGCCTGTGAGCTGTTATACCACAGAGCAGTTCACTCTGCCTCTGAAGATGCCAGCCAACAGCTCCTGGTGAAACATCAGAACAAAAGAAAACTAGATCATGGCCGTTCAGCCTGAAAGCTCATCGTTGTTCAATTTGGTGTTTCTCCACCTCAGCAACTTGAAGATGGGTGGACTTCAACTCCCAGAATTCCCCAGCCAGCATTCTGGGAATTGAAGTCCACCCATCTTTAAGTTTTTGAGGTGGAGAAACACCAGTTTAGTTCAATGTAACCTTGCACTGGCAGGCCTGAAGCAGAGAAAGGTATCTCTCAGCATCAGTTCTCAAGTGTCTTTCAATGGATAAGCTGAAGATGATGTCAAGAGCCTTCTGCATGTAAACCAAGTAAATTTAGCCACGGTGGCTTGTAAGATAGGGTTTATGGCTAAGTGTGGTCTATGAACCCAGTCCATTGGTCTGTTCAATAAAGTATAGTGAAGTAAACCAAGATTTAGCATGAAGGGCAAAACCAGGCTACTACAGAATTTGCGGCAAGTACATCTGTTGTGTGTGTACGTGTGAAAATGGGAGGAGGTTATATTTTTAGCATGTTGCATTTCTGTCTGGTAGAATCCTCCACCCATGGAAAAGATCAGGATACTAAGTTACCCAGATAGGAGTGATTTTGGCACACCATTTGCGTTCTTTATTCAGACTTGGTTTTCAGCTACACGTTTCTGTAACCCCTGCAGAATCCGGGGACACCTATAAAATGTTAAAAGGAATTGATTTGTTTCTCACCTCCTCCCTGCTTTCCCTATCTCTCCTCTGCCTTGTCTGGCTGAAAGGAGAAGCCTACAGGACTCTAAGGAACATCCCAAGCCATTTAAATTCTGGGAAACACTACAGACATCAGACTTGAAACAGCTCTTTGCATTAATAACAATAAGTAGAATGCTACCAAGTGGGTGTTTTTGACTTTTTTTGAAAACCATCAAGGCGGGTTTGGACCAATCATCTAATTCACAGAAATGAGGATCGCGAAAGTTGAGGGGGTGGAGGTGGAAAATTTTGAAACACACCGAGAACAATTTCCCCAGGGCAGCAGCTGGTGATGTTAGAATAGCAAAGAAAGTACATAGGAATTACTTTCTTTCTGAAACAAGAGACATTCCCATTATGGCAGGAAGCGAAAAAGATCCAGCCTTCGGAGGGCATGAACGGCACTTAATTCCAAAATCCCCAGCGATGTGCTTTCCTTTTTGTTCTCTTTATTTCTTGCCCTTCTTCCCTTTGTTTTCTTGTGGCTGGGGACCATATTTTTATTATTATGGAGTGGGCAAAGCCAGCATTTTCAGCCCAGATATTGAGGGAAGGGGACAACTTAAGAAAGGTACCAGACTCTGCTGAGATTTGCCACCACTTAGAGTAACCCCATCTCTCTCACCTGGTGATGAAGCTGAAGGAATCAATCTCAGCCAGGTGTGTGACAGACATAAAAAAAACCAGGCAGAGCTTTGATCATGCCATCTTTGATTACACCATCATGGCTTTTTGGACTTATCCTGTGGACACCCCTGATCTTACTTCAGACCAGCTCTGAAAACTACTGCACCCAAGCATGAAAACTTGAGGAAGGAAGGATTAGGCCATGGAGCTGGGCTATTCAGTAATGGTATGTGGGAAGGACCTCAGGAGACAGGAGGAGGAGCCACAAACTAAACAACCATCATAGAAAAGGGATCTCAGTCCACAGATGCAGAAGGGGTGCAGGAAGCATTTCAGAAGGGACCCTCCCTAGTTTTCATGAGAGTAAAAGGAAAGGAGGAATACTTTCAGACTTGCAAGATTCTGTTAATATAACCTTACGTTAAAGACAGAACTAGTAATCATTGTGGTGCTTCTTGTCTGGACTACCTCAAAGGGCTGTCATCAATCTTGCAAGTCTGAAAGTCTTCCTCTCCTCCTTTCCTTTTACTCTCCAGAAAAAACTAGAGAGGGTCCTTTCTGAAACGCTTCCCACACCCCTTCTGCATCTGTGAACTGAGATTCCTTTTGTATGATGGTTGTTAGTCTGCGGCTCTTCCTCCTGTCCCCTGAGGTCATTTCCACAGACCATTACATATTCTAACTCAAAAGAGGGAGAAGAAAGGAGGGCAGAAAAGTGTGATGGATCATAGGAGGCAACGGAGAATGGATATTCACACTGGGAGGTTTATGCAAGAGGAGGACAAGGCAAGAGAACAGAGATTCTATGGAAGCTGGGAAGTGAAAACGCCTTTATCAAGAGACCCTATGATGACTTTATCTTAAGGTCGCAAGGCAATCAGCCTAGTTTTAGCTATATCCTTATAAAGAATCCCTTTTCTCTAGACCAGCCACCTTAAGAAGTTTATTGCCAAACAGTTGTGAAGCTGGTGCAGCTACTGCTTTTAAACACGTTGCCATGAAGCTACTTGTGATAGACGAAGAGGCCCAGTTATGAGCAGGTCTCCTCAACTGGGTATGATCCTGTCCTATACCATGAATCTTGTACCTCTTCTAAAAGCTTTGCTTCTGTATGTTACCTACTGGAAAAACAGAGAAATTTATACTGGAGATGAGGGTGTGTGTTAAGGTGTGAAAAACAGAAAGCAACCTGGCTGACACAGTGCACGGTTTTAGACTCTTCTAAAGAAATAAGCAGTTGCGATGGAAACGTTTGCTATCTGTCTGATCAAGATATGATCAGACCAAATTATACTAGCAACAAAAAATTAAAACTATATAGTGAATTAATGCAAAGATTTTAAAGTATGGACACAAGTGTTAGAACCGTGTCATTTGCTCTAAATGAAAACTGATATTCCCAGATACCTCACAGGTTATGCAAAGGTATTCATATTCAGTTAAGAGATTGGCAGAATGAATCAAAACAGGAAGAGAAGAATTTTACATTTTTGCTTTAAACAGAATCTTTTTTTAAAAAATCTGAGTAAGCAGACTGTTACATATCTGTCCTCCCATAAGATGTTGCATAAATGCTGCTAGACTGAACAGATTGTCAATAATCAAATACAAATATGCAGTTATACTTTTCTTCTTTGCTACAATCCCCATTCCATCTCCCAAATCCCAACTATGTGTTGACTTGTTGGTCTACACTGTCTTTAAGGTTTTATGTATTTATATATTTTATGTTTTAATGTTTGTTGTGAATCGCCCAGAGTT